CATTTCATTTATTATTACTTTATTGTTACATAATTATTTGTTTTCTCTCTTCTCTGTTTTTCATTTCTCTTTCCCTTTCCCTTCTTTGGGGCTATTTTAACTTCTGTTTTTTAGCTTCTGTTTAACTGTTAGGTTATTTTACTATTTTCTCTTTATAGGGATTATAATATTGCATACTTAACTTTCAGAGCAATCTGTCCCAGTCTGCCTCCTTTTTTTAAAGAACTCAGCAGAAGAGCAGTCCATGATATGTAGCCAGATAATTACCATTCCTTTTGTTCTGCCTTTACTGCTAAGCTCCCAGGCTGCCCCCTCCAGTCTCCTGTCCCTTCTTGCTTAAAGACCTTCCTTCAGCGATTCTTCTAGCTCACGTCGACTGGCAGCACTTTTGTTTCTCTCCGAACGTGTCTTAATTTTAGCTTTATTTCTGAAGAGGTTTTTTTTTTTTTTAAACTGGATATAGAATTCTGAGTTTCTTTCTCATCTTTGAGCACTTTATAAAATCGCTGTTTTACTTCCTTCTGACCTCCATGGTTTCTGATGAGAATTCTGCTGGCATTCAAACTCTCAGTCCCTTTTAAATAATATATCATTTTTCTCTGGTTGTTTCAGAGATTTTCTTTGTCTTTAGATCCCACCAGTGTCATCATGATACATTTGGGAGTAGATTTCCCTGGGCTTGTCCTACTCCTGGTTTACTAGCTTTCGACTTGACATTGTGTATCTTTGGCCAGTGATCAGTGACTCAGATTTTTTCTGCACTGTATTCTTCTTCCTCTTCCCCTGGAATTCCAGCCACACTACCAATTAGACAGTTTGGTTTTGTCCTGTGCGTCACCTTTCGAGTTTTTTGTTGTTTAACATGTTTTACTCTGTTTCTCAGATCAGATCATTTCTGTTGGCTTCAGTTTATTGACTCTTTCCTCTGTCATCTCCATTCTGCTGTTGTGACCATGCAGTTTCTATGTTTTGTATTTTTCTGCACTAAATTTCCATTTGCTTTTCTTTATAACTTGTATTTCTTTGAAACTCTGTATCTTTTTCTTTCAAAGGTATTTTCCCCATCTTGCAGCATTTTTATTGCAGGTCCTTCAAAGTTACCAGACAATGTATGTGAAATTCTCACATCATGCACTTTAAGTATCTTACTGTTTCATTTGTCAACTAATCCTCAGGACACCAGGGACAAAATTTTGTCACATGATTCTAACTTATGTGGCATCTTGGCCTTGATGTTTGTTAATTATCTCTTCCAAGACGAGTTGAGGGTTTTCTGATTCTCTGTTTGCCGAGGCATTTTGGATTATACCTGATCATTTTGAATGTTAGGTTCTGGGACTCAGTCTTGTGTGAGTGCAATGTATAGATAGCACTGCTGTTTGTTTTTAGGAGGCACTTGACCTGGATGAATTCAGCTTCTTCGTTCAGACCAGGTCTCTGCAGATTGTGGTTTCAACGTCCATTCCGTTGTTTGGACTCCACAGTGCTGTGCAGGTGTGCCGTCCTGCAGATGCGTGGCCGGTCTGAAACCCTTGCATCCATCCTCCAAGTCTTTGATGCAGAGTCTGATATACACATGCACAGGTCAGGAGTGAGTCCAGGAGTGTACAAACACCTTGTCAGGCTGCTTTCCCAAGCTTCTCTTTCTCTGCAGTCTTCCCTGCTCCTTTCCAGTTCTCAGGGATCCTGTTTGGTCCTTGCTCCTAATCTGGCCTTACTTACCCACTCACCCACACACCTCCTGAGACTGCACCGACCTTCAGAGCCAAGCACTGAGAGGACAGAGAAGAGCGGCCAGGGCTTGTGCACCTAGGGGCCACAGCTGCTCCCAACAGAAAGAGACATGGGCCTCCGGATTGCTTGGGGGCCGGGGTGCAAGAGCTCAGTGATAATAGCAAGCGATTCCCCCACTCAGAGCATCAGGAGACCCTTCTCCCTCCTCAGGGAGAGAGAGAGAGAGAGAGAGATGAGACTTGCACACTTAAGCTGTGGGCGCACAGCCGTGCATCTGCACCTGAGTGTGCCATCTAGCCGCAGCCTGGTGGTGGAGAGCCCAAGCCCTGAGCAGCTGAGGGACAGCCCTCCCTCGGGAACCTGCACCCTGCAACAAGGTCACCTTGAAAGAAGGATTCTCCCCGATGGATTCCAAAGCGTGGTGTTCTTGCTCACTCGGGAAGACAAGGCTGAGTCTCAGCCGTGGTCTTAGACAGACCTGGTCTCCAGGCCCAGCGCTACCACTGAGCAGCTGTATCCGAGCATAGCAGCGCATGGTGGGGTACGGGACATGTCTGTCCAGGGAGCTCTTGTGATGCTGTTTATCACTGGGGAAAAGGCAGAGGCTCAGGAGAAGGGGACAACTCATCCAAGACACTGGACCCTGATGTCTGCCTTGGCCTCTGGTCTGTTCCTCCCATGTACGTGGGGACTTTGGCATCTGCGCAGGCTCCCTTCTCAGAGCCGTACGTGGCTGTGTCTGCCCAGGCACACCAGTGAAGGCTGCCTTGATCTCCACTCCCACAAGTAGCATGAGGAGAGCTCACACATAAAACTCTGGTGTCCATGACATAGAATGACATCTTCCCTGGCTGCTGTTGGTGACCCTGTCATGAGCCCCTAGGAGGCTGATGACATACAGTCCAGCCGGAGAGAATGTAGAACACAGGCTTGGGCGGGTTAGGTGCTCCTGGTGGACATGTGTAAGCGGCCACCCCCGCGGAAACGAAAACGGCAGCGTCCTGAAGAGAATGGAGCTCAGGAAGCAAGCCCCCTCCAGCAGAGCCTCCTGTGGCCACAAGGCCGAATGCAGCCCTGCTTACGGTACCCAGGCCCCAGGAGAGGCTGGAGAAAGGATGGGGATGAGCGGGGGAACATGGCCAGCAGAGGCCGTTCCGCACAGCTCTGGGGTCATGCCTGCTCCCCGGGGAGACCGAACCGGGTGGGGGAAGGGTGATCACCCAATGGCTGCCCTTTGGGCCACCTGCAATGATGGTCCAGCCGCTGAGGACTTAGTGGATGCCTCCAACTCCAGAAAATAGATTTTCCACATCAGCATGTTAATTTTTATGATGAGGCTTCACTCTGTTTTAGAATATTTAACAGCTGACAGTGTCAGTCCCTCCTCAAAAGGAAAGCAGTTTCATGGTCTGATTTTGCACGGGCTGGGGTCAAAGGCACTGTCGCCGAGCGCCGCTCCGACTAATTAATGCATTTGCTCCCTATAGGGTGAAATTGGGTTTTCAGTTACATTTATAACATGACATGCTTAATTGCTAAATATTGCATTATTTGAGCCATTTTCGTAATACTCAGCCTGGTATGCACAAGGTGAGAAATTATTTCCCATGAAAAATTGACAGCAAAGCTGAAACTGGTAAACTCTGTGCTCACATACAGACACATGACGGTCTTATCCTACGACACCACACCTGGAAAGGCAGGTGCTCCGTGCCGTGGCACTCGCCCCTCGGACCTGTCCTGTGGCCCCGGCGAGCTCGCACGCGCATCTCTCCTTGCAGTCCTACAGCTTTGGGAACATTCTGGGCTCCTCCCCTGGCACACCTGGGCGGCATCCCTCAGAACAAACACAGCAACCCCTCTATGGTATGAGGGAGACTGGAGACGGGCCTCCACTGGTCTCTGTGACATGCTACTTTCGTCAGTCTCTTTTCTAGAACCCTCGTCCCTGAAATCGAGGTCTCCCCAAGTCATCACCAGGTGGCCGGCCTCCTCTTTCTTCTTTTGTTCTTGTGGGTGTGGTTTTTTTTTTTTTTGGTATGTTTTTGTTTGTTTGTTTTTAAGTGAGGCATAACAGCCACAATGGTAATGATGAACAGTTTGATTTCAAACCCCTTTCTGAAGAAATCACAGTAAACAGAGTGTGTTTGCCTAAGGAAACCCTGCGAGCAATCAGCCAGTAACACAACTGCATGTGCTAATGAACCCAAAGCTGTTAATGTGGTTTCTTCAGTTAAATTGATTCATGAATTTTGAAGAGAACATTATCTAATGAATTTTCTTTGAATAGAAAGCAATTAAAAGGACAAATCAGTCTGATTAACCCCAAAGTCACCCTCCTGCCACAAATGGTGTACAGTTTGAAATTATATCATAAAAAACTAGAGCACATTTGCTATCTTTTTGCCCTCTACTAATCCATGTAAATTAATGAACAACAAAGTTAATTTCTTTGATGACCCTGTTCTAGTATCACCTGGATTATGCTGATGTTTAATTTGCTTAATGTTATAATAAAGACTAAACAGATTTTTTTTCCCAGTGAAGTGATTATCATTCCCTTCAGTTAAGAAGTGATTTTTATTATTTAACACGCATGTAAGGGTGTGTTTCCTTTAAGAACCAAATCGCACTTTGCCAGCCTGGCACCGAGTGTAATTAGTGCTGTTACGGACACACTCCGGGACACCACCGCTGCCCGGGAGCCGTCCCTTTGTTGTCGCCGTCAGGAACTCCCGCCCCCGGGGGGCTCACCACCCCCACCATGGGGGACACAGCTCCGTGTCCAGTGCTCCTGAGCCGTGTGCTCCCTTTGCAGAGACAATAGGTATCGATTCAGACCAGCCCCCTTCACAAAGCTGGAGGCAGAGGGAGAGAACGTTCTCATGCTTTCACCTGTTCGTTCCCACAGCAGGATGAGGAGCAAATGGAATTTGAAGAGGCTCTGAAGTCAGTAGGCAGGCAGGGCCTTCTGTTCTTATGAATATGTGCACACCGCAGTCCTGGAAGGGCATCGTGTGATCCTTCCTGCGTGGGACTGGGGGAAGGGGGGCAGGGAGTTGCAGATCTGGGGTGCACAGTGGCGGGATGGCTGTGAAGGGGCCTGCCCATGTGGTGACGGGACCGTGCGTGGAGGCCACATTTTCATTGACTGTAGCGCCTCTGTTTTCGTTCACATGTTTTCTGTTTCGGGACCAGCAGCTTTCTACATCAGAGCCACAGGAGCTGCTTGTCCACATAACGTCATTCTGCATTCTCCCTTTCAGAGTCATTCACCAGACAGGTGCTGTGGAAGCTGCTGAAGGTTGTCAAACTCGGAGAAGTGGTTTCTTACCAGCAATTAGCAGCCCTGGCAGGCAAGCCCCGAGCAGCACGGGCCGTTGGCGGAGCGATGAGGGCCAATCCTGTAAGTCCCTGTCAGTGTGCGTGTCAGCAGGGCCACAGGTGGCCGGGGGATGAGGGGTTTGACATGGCCCTTGGTGGGCCTGGGGCCCTGCGCTGTGTGTCTCTGAGGCGGCCTGTGCGGCACCACGTGGGGAGGAGAGGAGAGGAGGCATTTGTGTAGGGCCCCCAGAAGAGGTGTGGGCGGCCCCTGCTAGGTTACACCCTTGTCCCCCATTTTTGGTGAAGGTGGTAAGGAAGCTTTCCCATGCCAGCACCCATCTCCGTGCATGTTGTGGCCACAGGAGGAGAAAGCCTGGAGACAGCAGTGGGTGGACATTTGTCCGTTCGTTCAGTGACTGGGTGTATGGGGTCCCTAGTGTGCCTGACACTCTTCCAGGAGCCAGACGACAGACAGGCTGCCCATGCAGAGCATCGTTCTAGAAGGAAGCACACGCTGGGGTCCAGACACAGCCCTAGGACCGTGTTCTCTTAGACCAGTCTCTCTAGGCCTGACCGTTAGGGAGGGTGGAAATCTGACACATGAGGAAGGACGCCCGGACATGCACCCTGCCAACTGGGATGATTCGTCACCTTCAGACATGTCTTCCCCAGGGGTGGCTCTGCCCCCAACCCTTTGGTGACCCTGTCCCCCCCCCACCCCCTGTGCACGCAGGATGATTCTGAATCAGGTTTATGAGCATTTTTTTTTAATTGACTTTGAAAAACTTTTGGTTTGGGGGGGGGTTGTTTGTTTTTCTCTTCTGAGAGAGCGAGAGACAGCGTGAGCAGGGGAGGATCAGAGAGGGAGACACAGAATCTGAAGCAGCTCCAGGCTCTGAGCTGGCTCTCAGCACAGAGCCCGACGCAGGACTCGAACCCACGAACTGTGAGATCATGACCTGAGCTAAAGTCGGACGCTTAACTGACTAAGCCCCCCAGGCGCCCTATATGAGTGTGATTTTTTAACTTCCTGATAAACTTTGACCTGCATGGTTCCTTGGGAAGGACCGTCTTCTCCCAGGTTGTGACTCCATGTTGAGCAGTTGGGCCCTGCTCTGGATAGAAAGACGGCTGGGACACTATGGCATCCTGACTCCCTTTAGTGCCTTGTGAGGACGTTAGAAGCTGGCAGGACTCTGCCTGTCCTGTACCCGTACAGTCGCAGTGCCCTGTGGACATCCTCCCTTTGTCCCAGATCTTCATCCGTGTTGTAGCCCTGTTTCTACTCTCCGTGCCCTGTGCGTAGCATCAGTCACTCTCCCTGCTCACACAGGTTTGACTTGATTCCCACCGTGTAACGCAGGCAGCTGGGTGCCGAGTCGCTCCCCCTGGGTGTGGCTGCCACCCGTCCTTGCTCCAAGAACAAGCATTCTTAAAGGACATGGACATATCAGTAGCCCCGCACCTGCCTTCTGTGTGATGACAGCAGTTTCTCACTCTCTGAAAAGGAGACGCCGTCACTGCTCAGCGATCACGCTCGTGGCAATATTCAGAAACATTTATTGTTCTCAACCAGCATGACTCTCTTCTCCCGCTATTAATCTCGATGAACATCTCTCTCCAGCTATGGCCTCAGTCACTGAAATTTATAAAATAGGATCTCCCAAGGCTTACAACTCTAATGTCCATAAAGCCCACATATTGACTTCCCCACCTCACGCCCAGGTCGAGAATGGCAGTGACGACATCAGGAGGGAGCACCGTGCAGGCGCTTGGTCCCTTCTCTTGGTGCTCTCCTGCGCCATGAGCGGCCAGGATGGGGGAGGAAGCCCTCGGGGCCTGTCCACGTGTCCCTCTGTTGTTGGGCGCCACACAGGGACCCTCTGGGCAGGGCGGTTGCGGAGATGCTGGTGGCCGTAGGGCGTGGTGCGACTTCCTATCGTGGTGCGACTTCCTATCGTGGTGCAGACGTGCTGCAGGTGCGCCTGCGAGCGGAACCTCAAAGGTGCAGCCGGCATCTGCTTGGCCTCCCAGGGAACCCTGCCATCGTCACGGGGTTCCCTTGAAGTTGATTTAAAACCTCCTTGGAATGGGCTGGGGGCATCCAAGAGGCGACCCAGGACCCTGCCATGGCTGACGCTACCACGACTTGGTGCTGGCAGCGGGAGGCCCAGCCTCAGAGCCCCCTGCATAGGCTCCAGCACCGACAGCGCATCACTGAGACCTCCTCACTGATAATCTCTCTCTCTTTAGGCTGAATAGAGCAATTGTACCTTTCGGGAAGGAGAGTAAAAAATGGGTTTGGAATGTTGCAAAACACCATGAAGCTCATTGTGCATTAATTCCTTAGGTGGCTTGCAATAAACATGAACACATGCTGGCTCGTATTACAGCGCTTGCTGTTGGCGTGAGCTTCTCGTCCCGCCAGAGGAAGGGATGCTTGTTGCTGTTTGGGGCGGGGGGTGAGGGGGTGGCGCTGGTCCCATCCTGAGCACTTGAGTTTTCCAAGTTTTCCACAGAGGATTCACTAGGCCAGGTAGGACGGTTTGGCAGACTTCTGGAAGGTGCACCCTACCACCCATTCACCATGGAGGATGGCCAGCCTCCCCGTAGTTGAGACTGGATACGCCTCATGCCCCTCCCCCACCAGAGCACCCTTCCCTTCATCCTCAGACAGAGTTTGCTAAATGCAGTTCAAAGGCGATCAATACATTGCACAGAGAGTTTCCCCACTTTTTTCTAAACAAACGCATTCCTGAGGAGTTAGTTTATTCACAGATTGCCATGAGCGTTAATGACCCCCCGAGTCTTGTTCTGCCAGTCACCCAGATGGCTGTTGATAAAGATTTAGCATCATGTTCTAAGTGTCAGGGCCGTCAGTGGGGCTGAACCATTTGACCAGAAGAAAAAAACACACAGGGAGCTATTGATTACAGCTTCCCGGTGTCACTTGTTCACCAGGATTTAGGTATTGATGAGGCCGCAAGTGAAAACAAGCCCTCTCCCTTGTGGGCTGCTACCACAAGAACAAAGGCGAAGTTGGAAAAAATATTCAGCCAGCACCAGAATCAGAGGGATTCCGTTATTGATTGAAAGGCCCCTTCGTGTTATTTTTGTTGGAGACAAATCTATGGGTTTGGAAGTTTTATAGCATTTGAGAAAGGGTCTGTGTAAGTGATGGATTCACGTATTGGATGAATTAGATTTCACAGCATGAAGATTTCAATGCAGCTGTGATATTATGTGCTGCTTGGTTATTGATAAAAATTACATTTTATGCAGCACAGGCTTTCAAGGAGAGGGTATAGAGGGTGCGGATCCCTTGAAACGTCCGTAGGGCACAAATACGTTTTGGCAGCCTTCGTTATTTTAGTCGTCTGAGACCCACCACCAGAGTGAACACAAACAAAAGTGGTGCTCCCCGCTTCTGCTGTAAAGACTGTGCTTCTTTGGCAAGTCACCTGCCATACAGCAGTGTGTGCATGAGATGAAGTCGGGTCAGTCGCCGTCACTGCTCTTCCCAAGGAGCAGTGCTGTGGTCTGCATGATGCATGGAGTTGGGGGGTGGGGGGGAATCTGAGCCTGCTCCTCAGGTCGGCCATCGGGTAGGAACATTGTAGCAGTACCTAAATGCCTGTGAAACTAACTTGAATTTAGGTTCTACGTCTTTCTCTGTCAAAACTTGAGTTTTAGGTTATCGTGTCCTCAAAGCAGTTATTAATGTGACCATTGTATTTGATAAAACCCTCAATCAGAGTCAGTAGTCCAGACTTGAAATGTTCTGTTTCTCCTCCCGAGATGACGGGGATGGCAAGCAGCTTGCGGGACGGGGCAGCCACAGGGGCTTTCTCAGTGTGCGAAGTAGCAAAGACGAGAAGCCAGCTTTCCCCCAATCCCCCCTGACCCAGCGGCTCGTTCTTAGACCCCCCTGAGACTACACGCATTCCCATGGCAGCCCAAACTTGCAGACAGATTGGGGACTGATTTGTGATATGGGGGAAGTTAGGTTCTCAGCACCCGAGCTAGGTTACCCACGGGGCCAGCTGGCACCCAGGCCGCATCGGCGACCCCCTCAGGCAGCTGGCAGAGAGGTGACACAAGGGCTGGACTCCCCTCCTTGCCTCCAGACCGCCGTGGGAACCTGGGCAGGAAACGTACCCCAAGGCTCACCACACCTGGCCTGGGGCTTGTTGGAGGACATGTGATGCGCCACAGCAGGCACAGGGCACGCTCCCCTGGTGGCATAATCAAGTGCTGGGACTGGGGACCGTGCCATCTGCCCAGGGACGGGTGCAGCTCGAGGCCGACAGGGGGCACTCTAGGTGGGTAGGTTTGTATGGCCACAGGGCGGCCAGATGCCATGAGAAAACACCCAGACGTGTGTTCAGCCACTTTTCTAGAAACTCAGCTGATTGGTGGCTGGTCACTTTGTCCAGTTCAGGTCTTTGGAGGTGGAGCTTGGCGGTAGGGGAGGTGAATCTTCTCTCTGTTGAGCTACAGACTTAGTGGAGGGACTCTGACCCTTGGGGGCCCTGCAGGAGTAGCCGTTTTTCCTTGCAGGACATTCGGAGCACAACAGCCACACGAGTGCACCAAGAGTGGCCGGTGAGGGTGGGGCTGGGGCTGCAGTTGGTGAGGCAGGATGGGAGCTGAGCTGTCCCTAGGCACCTCTCAAGGCCCTTCCAGGGTGGGGTCTGCTGAGGATCCATCCCCAGAGCTGGGGCAGTTCCTGTAGCCGTGCCTGCTGGCTGTTCTTCATGGAGCCACCTCTGTGATCCACACGAGAACTGTCACCCCAGCATGTCTTGGGCCTTCCGTGACTGACCCCCACCCATCTCCCTGCACCCCAGTCAAGATGCAGCCACTCAGGACTGAGGGACCCTGGGCACGCCCTCTCCTGAGAGGTTTGAACTCTGCTGAGAACCCACTGTATGCTCTGTCCTGGGAAGTGTCGGGTTCTGAGTAACTGCTTGTTGGGATCTTGAAGCAAAATGACTGTTCATCCCCCAGAGCCCCTGCAGTGGGACCAGAGTGTGCCCCCTGCAGTTGACGGGCTCTAAATAGTGTCCACTGGCTGCCCGTGAGGGGAGGTCAACCACCTGAGACAGGCTCCTGTCCACGTTGTCTTTAAGGGGCCATAAGTGCTATCCCTTTCTTTTCCTCCTGTGTTCTGGGCCAACTGAGCCATCCATAGAGGACAGCAGGGCATTAGCTTTATTCAAATAAAAGCTCATCTAGAGAGGCGCTATGGCCACGGTGGGCTTCCCGGGAATTCTGGCTGGAATGAGCCCCCTCCCCACCCTGTTACCAGCCCAGCAGGGTCAGGTGGTGATGACCTCTGTGCTGCGGGACAGGACCCCACGTGGGACCAAGCTGGCCGTTCTCATGCCTTCCTCCCAGGATGGCTGGTCAGTGAGTCTTCCTCCCCTTGGGCTGGGGGTAAAGGGTGGGGTGGCATGTCCCTCCTTCCAGTGGGTGTCCCACCCCATGGAAATCAAAAGCAAGGGCAAGGCTCGCTGTGCCCACCTCCACAGTGGACTCCATTCTGAGAACAGACACTGAGCAGCTCTGCCAGCAGACATACGTGGAGCTCCTGTCTGTATAGCCCAGGCCAGTGGCAGGAGGACCCAGGTGCTCCCCTGGGGACTGCTGCTGAAAAGGAGCGTCCCCCCATCCCTGCCATGGAGAGGACAGAGGCCTCCTCCCCTGGCAGAGTTGACTGCAGGGAGTGTGTTAGGTGGGATTGTTGGCCTGCATGTGGCTGTGGGAATAACAAACTACTCATGTGACCATGGCCCTGACTCAAAATCCAGGACCTATGAGCTCTGGCCCCCAGTTTGAGATGTGGAAGATCAGACACCCATGGGTCTGTACTGGGCCAGCTCCAGGCAAGGGCAGAATGACTGGCAGGGCACTGGGGGGGCGGGAGGGGGGGTCCTGTGCTTAGGGCATTAGTGTCTGGTAGGGAGACCTGCCTGCAGTGTGGGTCCTGCTCCCATGGAGCTGTGGGCCAGCCCGCCTTCCTCCAGGACCGCTGTTGCAGCACCTTGAGCGGTCGGTAAGGTGGATTGGAAGGGCTTGGCAAAGGCCATGGTGCACAGAGCCCAGCCTGCACCTCTGTCTCCTGGTGCATCTCAGTGACACACGGCACCCAGCCAGCCATCGCTGCCCCTGGTTCTGGCAGTGGGTCCTTTTAACCGTTGGATGGCTTCTCTTTGTAGGATTGTGTTTGGGTTTTCATCATAAGGTGGCCTTGCTTTTAGTGAAGTCATTCTGTTGATTAAGCACCTGATATTCAGTTTGCCTCCAGAGGTGGATGCACAGGCAGGCCCCAGGATCCTTGGGAGGCCTGAGGGTGGGTGCAGCCCTGGGTCTGGAGTCCTCAGGGATGCTGTTGGCCAGCCTGTCCCAGTCCTGGTATCCGGGGGCCACATGGTGGCAGCGGCTGCTCCTGTGTGGACAGATGAGGACCAGAGTTTCTCAGAATTCCAAACATCCCCGGGCTTCGGGAGGGAGACGCATCCCCGTGCAGTGCAGCATGAAGCAGGCCAGCAAACCTGTCCCATAAAGGGCGTGATATTTTATGCTCTGCAAAAGCAGCCCCAGACAGTATGGCTGTGATCCAATAAAACTTTATTTACAAAAGCAGGTAGAGACTGTACCAGTTGGCCACATTTTGCCACTGCCTTGCATGGGTACCGTCTTCCCTGAAGGTTCCTGTCACTTCTCGCCTTGTTTGAGAATTTTACCTACCACCCCATAAATTGGAAATGTGATTTTGAATTTTGTAAGCATACATTGTAAATTACTTAACCAAAGGCAGTTTTCTGCTTCCGGATCTTGGTATAAAGGGGTTCTCTGGAAAAGGCCATACATTTGCTTTGGGCCATTGTGCCCATCCGTGGCCCGTACCAAGACACCCAGAGACCAAGTGGGGCACAGCGCTGAGACAGCCAGCTGGGGCCTGCACCTGGCTGAGCCCCTGCTAGGTCACTTGTGGTCAGGGGCCTTGCCCTTGACCCCGAGAGACCTCGCAGGCCCAGAGCCCAGACTGACGGGGTCCCCTCACTGTTTTGCAGCTGCCCATCCTCATCCCGTGCCACAGAGTGGTCTGCAGCAGTGGAGCCGTGGGCAACTACTCCTCAGGCCAGGCCACAAAGGAATGGCTTCTCGCCCACGAAGGCCACCTGGTGAGGAAGCTGACCTGTCCAGGAGGCTCCAGCGTGGGCAGCACCTCCCACTCCAGCCTGCTGGCCAGAGGGGAGTACTTGTGGGAGTAAATACTTGAGTGACACATAAAGGTCGCAGCGTGTTGGAGGTGGGCTGTGCAGTATTAAAAGAGCTGGACGTGTTCCTAGGGGACGTGGTGTATGTGCCTTGTTTGTACATTTTATGGCAGAGCGAGTTCAGAAGACTGGCTGGTGTTCATAGTTTGTTTCTGTCTCACACACCACCACTGTTCCATTTCTAATGTCTATTAACACAGGGATGAGAAAGTGGGGGCCTGACAAGCCCAAAGGCCCCTGTCCAGGCAGGTGGGAACATCCGGCACCCGCCAGGGCCCTGGCTCCCCACACTGGCCTGTCCCCCTGAGAAGCTGGCCTCCCCGGCTCCCTCTCTGCTCAGCCATGGAGGCTGCTGAGACCGTGTCTCCCACCCAAGCCTTCCTGAGGGAGGCCCGGCCGCAGAAGCCAATGCTGATGGAGGTTTCTTAGCGTTGTTCTTACCGCCAGAAAGCTGCTGCAGGAGGCACACGTGGTGGGTTGTATCAGTTTGATGGAAAAGAACCACTTACCAAAGTGATTTGGAAGAAGAAATAGCACCTTGAGATGAGTTTGGTTGAAATGGCTCCTTCCCCAGGGCTGGGGTCTTGCCTCGGGCCCCAGCCCCTCTCCTGCCACTGCTGACCTTTGTGCACACTGTCTGGAAGGTGACGATCGAGCCTAGAAGTCCGAGGTCACACAAGTAGGGGGTTCCGCTCCTGTCCCTAGCAACAGCACAGGGTGTTTCCAGCATCCACCAAATGCCACCGTCTGATGCTTCATTATCGTGTTGTCATTTTCGCTTTATAATTAAGTGTACCTGAGAAGCATAAGGGAAACTTGCAGCTATGCGTGTGGATAAATAAAATAGTATATGATGGATGGAGAAAATAAACTCCACCCCACTGTGTAGGAGAGAGCTGTATTTTTGTCAGGGGTCCCTGTGACAACTTAACCCCAGCAGGGAAGCCCAGGTGCTTTGCATGTGTCGCCGAAAGCCCGCATAAATATACAGCCCGTTACACACATGGTTCGGGCGTATTTTATATTCCATGTTACCTTAATGCCGATAAAAGAACAGGTGTCTGATGTAAACAGACTTTAGGCTTTTCTCACCAATTAGCAATTTGTTATATCCTTTTATTACGTCAACCAAATTCTGGGCTTTTCCCCTCAAAAATAAAATGGTAGGATCATTATCCATTATCTTCTGATTTCAGTCCTCCTCCCTGCACCCTCCGTGGCTGCTGGAGGTCTGATTCCCAGACACACCATGGGGCCATCTTGCTTCGTTGTGCCCCTCAGCAAGCTTTGACAGCCATGCGCTTGCTCTTCTGGTGTCTCTGTGTGTGAGCCAAGGGGCCCACTTCTGCATTTCTGACGTGCTGGGAAGATGAGTGGGGGTCTGGGGTGCGCTTTGCATTTGGGGACTGAGAAAGCGGTTGTGTTGTAAATTCTGTAAGGAAAATGCTTTTCTCCAGGAACTGATGGTCACCAAGAAATGAGGTCGTGCTCTGCCCTGAATGGATCAGAAAACCATGGTCTTCAAAGGCAGCAGCTGTGGCCTCGCTGGCCTGGGTGTGGGTTTCGTCCGAGCACTTTCCAATAGAGGGCACCATAGCAGTGCACTAGGCTGCAGCTGGAGACCCCTGCTTGCCATGCTTAAGGATGGATTTGAGAGTGGGCCAGGGCAGCTCTGCCAGCAGCTCTTTGCCAGCCCCCCAGAGCACGGGGTGCCATCAGTGCTGCCGGCAGACCCCGGTGGTGCTCCAGGGTCCCGGGCCACCCATGTACTATGCACAGAGGCCACCTTCTGGGCCAGGAAGGTGCGGGTCCCTGACACACCACATGCCTCCCACGTGATCTCCAGATCCCCAGGGGGGCTTCGAGGGAGGGGTCTTGGGTGGGACGGCCCCACACACACCGTCTCAAGGGCCAAGTCCCCAGTGAGGCTTAGCCGCTTGCGGCCGGGGACCCACCCATCAAAGCAGTCTGAGGTGACTGCAGCCCCACGTGGCCTGGCACTGCCTGGTTGGGGCCGTGTCCTTGGTGCAGTACCAGCCCACGGCCTGTTTTCTGTCTCTCAGGGCTTCCTTGGCCCTGTCAGAACAGGCCTGATCGATGCCCCGAGGTTCCCGCTGACAGAGGCACAGCCCGCTCCAAGGACCAGCTGTGCAGGGGCCCACGTGAAAAGCCAGCACAGTCGCCTGGAGCCGCTGCTGCTCAAGGTTGCCTTGCGGTTTATGGAAATAAAGCGGAAAAGGAAAGGCACAAAGAAATACAGAACTATTTTCCAAATAAAAAGAAGTGTCAAAACAAGAGAGCCGTGTTCTTCAGCCTTAGCCTGGGGTCCCCTGCACCTACGCAGTGCATAGTACTTTGGACGCAGGCATGGAGACCCATGGGCGCAGGACAGCTGGCTCCACACTGCATCTGGGCTGGTGTGTGCTGTTCTCCCCATTTCCAGAGGCCGAGATGATGAAAGTTTCAGAGATAAAAGTTGTTTTTGTGGAACCCCATGCGCAAACCATGTGCACATGGTATGGATGCCCTTGGCCGTGCAGGAGCCAAGGTTTACAATGGGTGGCTGTGTTCTTCTCCGGTGCCTTTTCTGTGCAGAGAAGCCCTGAGCAGGCCCACCCTCATCCACCGCGTCCTCTGGCTGCATCGATGGACAGAGTGACAGCACAGGTCTGCTGCCTTGATGCCCATAGAAGAGACCCCGCGGTGTCTGGTGTGGGCGGAGGTGGGAGGGGAATGTGGCAGAAGGCAGAGCCACGGACTCTGTAGGTCGGCTGCCCAAAGCTTTAGATACCAGGGGTGCGGGCAGGGCCCGTTCCAGAGGACGCAGGGAGGCTCACCTTGCAAGTGACTTAATTGGGACTTTTAATTCTTGTCTGCCTCTTAGGAGAGGCAGGCGTTTACTGAACAACCAAGAGAGACTGAGCCGGTTCTAACCCAAGTGTCTTTGGGAACACATTCGTCCCAGTCTCCTCTCTGCATACAGCATGCTTGCGCACAGTATCCTCATGCAGTCCCCTTTTTGGGCAGCCAGGCACGTCCAGTGCAGGTGTGCTTATATCAAAACCATTGTTCAACCCCTTTATGAGCAACAGTGTTGTCCCGGAACTTACTTCGAAGCTGCAATATGAGAATAAAACCCAGTACGAGGGGGTTGCTTCAAACCCTAAGACCGCTGCATCCAGCAGGTCTCCAGCCGGGTCTGTGTGCTGCTCCAGAGGGCCTGCTACGGCTCTCCGTGTCCCCTGCTGTAGCCCGGCAGGGGCGGGCAGGCACTGCGGGCCATGTCTCCCGCCATCAGTGCCCGCAGCCCTAACCGCGGGCGGAGCGCCGGCCCGGCCTCAGCCGCTGCTGGAGTTGTTGGGTGTCATGGCCGAATCGACGTGAAGAGTGTTCACTTCCGAGCTTGCCAAAGGTCTTCATGCGGTTTGTGGTTTACACCACACACGGAGGACTCGAGTGAGAGATGACTTCCATGGGCCATGCAGGAGAAGGAGTTTCTGTTTCTCTTAGAAGACTGTCCCACAAGACAAGGCGGGAAGCTAAGCCTTTCTTCGTGGTCCAAGAGCCGCCATGTGTCTGGGCGTCCGAGTGTGTCATTAGCGTGTTTTCTTGCTGCTGTGCCGGCGGCGGGGTCACGGAGGGGGTTTGGCTTTGCTTGGCCCCCCTTGGCCAGTGCATGGTTTCCTCTTTCTCGTTCACCAGCGTTTGATGGAGAGTTTGTGTTCAGGAAACTGAAGTTCACATCAATTTTGCCCATTATCAGTTTGAAAGACATGGAGATTTAAACGGAACCCTGCCATGCAGTTCCCATCTGTCTGTCTGTCTGAGGGAGAGGGGGTGACATTTGAAAGGCAGGCCCAGAGCTTGGAGAAAGTGCAGGTCCCGCTGCGTCTGTGAGCGGCTGAGGGCAGCTGTGCAGGGTCTGCGGGCGCCATGGCCCCAGCTGCCGACAGATGAGCGCGTCTGGCCTCCATCAGCCGGCCGGCCCCGCGGGCTGGGGGGCGACGCACAGGGCAAGGGCCCGGACAGCGTGGCGCTGCCGGACGCAGAGCCCAGCCTGATGAAAGGATGTCGTTAACAAGTCTTTAAAGTTGTCTCAGTGTTTTTTCATGGAAAAAAGCAACAAGAAGAAGATTCCGCATGGACGCTGGTTAAGATTGATCAGGAAAGATGTGGCACGGGGGTCATAGGTCACCTTCACGGTGCCTCGCGCTCTGCACCCTGTTCCGAGCTGCCTTCCTGGGTGACCGGAGCTCGTCTGTGGGTGCCAGTGCTTGGCCAGACCAGGAGCCCTGCGTCTGAGGATGGGAGAAGGAGCTTCAATGCTCTCGTCATCGTGAACTCTGGTGCCACAGAGGCAGAAGTGACTGCTGGTTGCCAGCCGTCCTGGGGGTCACTCTGCGCGCCTTTTCCTCGTAAGTGTGGTTCCTGCCAACACACGCCGTTTCTGGGGCGAGGGTTGTGAGGAGCACAGCAGAGAGGCCGGGGGCTTTGTCTCCCTCTTTCCTTGCCTCTCAGACGTGGGGTCCTCCCCCCAGTGAGCACAGCACCGCACACACACACCTGAGGCTTTCTTAAGTCTTCTGCTAACACCTCAGTTCTGTTTGGGTCCCAAACACCAGCAACATGTTAGCTTCCAGATTGGTTTGTTGACTTAAATTAAGAAAAACCCAGCTGGAGAAAATATCAGTGTCTAAACATAAAGCAACATATGATATTGTGCAAAAAGTATTGCTTTTGCATGTTTTGATTGCCATGGCTACGAGCAGAAGTGGATGCACGTGTGAGGCTCTTGGCAGGCGGTGCGGGGGCAGGTATGCGGTGCTGGGGCTGTGCCCCCTGGCAGCCAGTCAGAGCCTCGGGCCCTGCGGGAAAGGTCTGCAGCCTGAGGTGGCCCCGGCCCCACCACATCCCCAAGGGGCCTCCTGAGAGGGGCGAAGTCTGTGCCCCAGAAGGAAAGGCCAGCCCTGGGCATCTTTGGGATTTAATCAGTCGAGAGCCGGAGAGAGTAGGCTCGGGAGCCCTGCCCATCCGTCCCCTTACAGCCACAGGGAGCATCCCATGCCAGCCATGGCC